AGGAAGGAAGGAAGGAAGGAAGGAAGGAAGGAAGGAAGGAAGGAAGGGAGGGAGGAAGGGAGGAAGGAAGGAAGGGAGGAAGGGAGGGAGAGAGGGAGGAAGGGAGGGAGGAAGGGAGGGAACAGGGAAGGAAGATGGGAAGTTGTAATTAATCAACTCCTACCAGAATAACCAGTACAGTAACTACAGTCCATTACACAGAGCATTGCATTGCTTCATATGGAATATGTATTGACAACTTGATTAAAATCTTGAAAAGTGTAATAAGTACCTCACTGAGTTAAAGGGGAAATTGGCTATGTATATAAACATATGTGGAAAAGCTTGAAAGCCAGTTCTCATCAGGTAAGGTTATATGCTACCTGTATATAATAGCCTCATTCTAACAGAATCTTATTTCCCAGCAAACTCACTTTTTAAGAGAGCCCTCCCACCAGTATAACTTAAAGAATAGGACCTCTCCCTCCTACCCATCCCAGATGCGTAGCCACTTGGAACACTCATTATTCTGCTCTCCATTTATTCTCTCTGGATCTCAGTTTCCTCATTGGTAAAGACGAGATAGTAATAGAACCGACCTCATTAAGTTGTGAGAATTGAATGAGATAATGTATGTAAAATGTGTAGAAAATGTCTGGTGTTTTATAGGTCTTACACAAATGTTGTTCCAGAAAAATCTTAGCACAGGTGTTTCTGCCAGATGACTGTACATACGCATTCTTCACTTCTTGTGAAATCACACACTAAACATAACAGCACTCATTGGAAAAAACAGGTTTAGGAGCAGATCCGCAAAAGCCATGGCACTTTTTAATGAGGGCACTAAGAAAAATGATAAGAATCTGGAAGATACTAAGATTGAGCTAAATCCCCACTAGTCTTTGCCATGAAAATCTGTCAACCTGCCCTTTGATGTCTCAAAGCCTGGAACTCAAGCTTCCCCCCGGAGATACAGGTCTTTTGTTTTCTGTTGTTGTCTTGTTTTAATACAGGAAAATACCATCCCAGGTTATCAACCTTCCATTTACAGTTTCCTCAGGTATAGTTTAGCCTAGGGGACAATACAGTAGGTACTTGAGGCTACTAAGCCAGCCCCTTTCTTTCAACTGAAGGAAGATATTTAGAGCCTTTTCAGCTTTTTTTTTTTTCAAACTCTTCAAATACCATTAAAGTTTTGTTTTGTTTAACTGTGAAAAAGCTTACACAGTTGATCACTTCAGGCAATGAACACACTGGGAAAAACCATGTTTGGTCCAATTTGTTTTCTGTGTTATGCTATCACTCCCCTAATTACCAATTGCGTATTAGTTGATTTGCATTTAAAAACACATGTTGTAGCAGAACAGACTGCAGATCTGATAAAAAGATATCCAGAGGATGTGAGAATTGTGCTGTAATAAACAGAGCCTTAACGATCCAACTCCCCAGCATTCTTTTCAAAAGTGACTTGAGTCCAGTTATTAAGGTCTAAAAATGCTGATCCTGTTAGAAGTTTGGGATAGTGTGTGCATTGGAGCACTCCGGCGGTAAGCAAAGACGATCAGCCTTGATGTATCTGGCTAATATATTAACCAGAGAAGGCAGCTCTACTCTTCAAACTCCCTTTATATCTCAGCCCGTAATAAGCAAATAAAACTCAGCTCTGAGCTTTCTCACAGGACATTCTTTTGCGGATGGTTTTTTCCCTTCCTTTGGTCATTACTCATTGCCTATTTTTTTTTCTCCTTTCTCCTTCAGAACAGGTGGACAGTAAGTCTACTGTTGTTCTAAAGGCAAGAGCTGTTTTCCTGAAAGATTTGAGGTGCTAGCTCCTTTGAGGGTGAGTACTGGGAATGCAATATTACAGCAAGCAGCATGCTCCAACGGCTCACGGACCCTCTTACACGACCGATGCTCCTATGGCCTGCTCGGCATACCCGCTCTCCCTGCTCTTTGTTGGGAGACAGTATCACCAGACAAAAGCGAAACCACAAACTGTTGTGGGTAAGGCGTCAACTGCTGTGCCAGCAACAAGATAATGAGCCTTGTAATGTTGTCGACATTTGTTCTACTCTCTACGTGGCGCGTAATCACGCTCTAAAGATCCCAGGGCTAGAAAAAACTCAATACAAGTTCACTTTGCTCAATCTCTTTGTGGCCCAGGTGACCCAAGTTTCTTTAAGAGGTAAAGTTTTCTGAAGTCCTGCATCCAGTCTTTGAATATATGAACAGTAATTAGGCAAAGTGGGGACTTGCTGAGTTGTGCACGAGCGAAATGAGTGGAACGTTAGCAACGTCGGTTGTGATCATTAACGAAAGGGAAGGCAGCAGATCTCAGAAGAATGCAGAGTTGGATTCCTCTCCTCAAATTAGCAGAAATATGAGAGGGGTGGCCTCGTTTGGACGTGTTTTGAATCCCCTCATCCTTGCAGCTGTCTCCCACGACCCCACCGGTTGATAGGATAAGTCATCAGTACCTGTCCTATTTCATTCACCTTATTTCACACTGTAGCCTCAGAACTCCTGATAATAGTGTCCAGACTCTAGGCACATGTCTTCTGAGACTGCATTCTTTCTGAGGTCAGTAATAACTGTCAAATCTGATGGGTAAAACCAGGTTCTCATGTGCCTGACGTCTCTACCGCGTTTGGCCTAATTGTGCAATCCCACACCCTCCTCTCAGAAACTATCTACCCGTGGCTGTTTTCATGGGTCTCTGTCTCTCTCTGTCTCTCTCGCTCTCACTCTCATTCTCGCTTTCATTCTGCCTGCCTGCCCCTTCACTTCTGCCTCTCTCAGTATGCCAGCTCCATTTTCTTACCCACAGACTCTGTAAGGCCTGTGGCATTGCTGATGCCCTGAAGTATTAACTGGCTTGTGGCTCTGGCTTGCCAGGAGGTCAGAGCTGACCCCACATCTACACGGCCGTTTGATCCAGTGTGCGCTACCGTAGAGTCAGGCAGATCTCCTAAGGCAAATGTCTGAGTTAGAGAATCTGCTTGATTACAGTCAAACCAAAGGATGAACTGATTTGGGGCCAGGTATACGCTTCTTGTCTAATCAGTTGTGGATGGCGGTGGGCATGCTCCCCACCCAGTAGGCCTCATAGGAGCACTGGTGAAGGCCAAATGACTGTGAGTTCATGGCATAAGAGTTCTTCACTTTGTGCCCCCCAACCCATCTCTACCATGGTCCATTATTTATCTCTTGTTAGTCCCCTGCCCTCCCCCATCAGTCCTTTGCTACGTCCACAACAGAATTTTTGCCATTTTTGCCCTATTTTTTCCTCCCTTTGCAAATGTCATTCTCTCTGCCTGAAATGTCCTTTACCATTTCTTTGTCTGCAAATTTTTTTCCTTTGTCTGAAAAATTTATCTTTTGCCATCCAACTTCACCTTTTCTGGAAATTTCACCCTTAACTTTTGTAGGCACTGCTGCCCATCTCTGAGTTCCCATTCTCCTTCGTGCTTACTGCCATTTTAGCACTTATTATACCCGTGGGCCCTGTTTAGTAGTGCCCTTGTCTTCCCTGATAGAATGCTTGCCTCTTGAGTTACAGTTCTACCTCTTACTCATCATAGTTTCTTCACCAGCGCTTAGGATCATGTCAGGAACGCAGTAGGGATTCAGTAAAGGTTTTCTGAAGGAATCCATATGTAAGTGAATGAGGTACTTGAAGTGAATGCGGAAGTAGTAAATCAGGGTTTAGTAAAAGGGGAAGAAAGGGAATGATATTACTCATTTTACAAATGACAGTCATTCTATCAAGATGCTTTTTGTCAAACACATATACCTGTGCTAGGCAGATTTTTACTGTTTCAACTAACTTTTCTATACAAAGTAAAGCTACATTTATGGGGATAGAAATTGATGCTATTGATGCTATAGCTTATCCATCTTATGGATTAAAATGAACTTCTTTGCTGTAAAATAAACTATAGCTTTCCCTAATGTTGACATCCTGGGGAAATTCTTACCATAGCAAAACTTCAATTGGTCAGCACTGTTAAATCTTTCTGAACTGTGTTAATCTGGGGTAAGAGTAGGTGATAAGAATAGAGTTTCATTTATAGAAAATGTAGAACTATATAACTTTTAAACAAAGAATTCAGTTACTTATCGCTGCAAATATACGACCCCAAAATTAAGTGGCCTAAAACAACAACCTTTTATTATATCTCAAATTTTATTAACCACAAATTCAAGTAGGACTCAACTGTGTGATTCATCTGTTGCATGGGTTATCCACTCTGGTCACTTTGTGACATTTAGCTAGAAACTGAGCTATTCTGGACAGTTCAAGACCGCTTTCTCACACACCTGGTGGCTGGATGGGGATACTGAAAGACGAGGCACAGCTGGACTCTTCTCTTCTCTGTGTAGTCTCAGGACCTCTTCAGCACTGAAGCTGAACTTTATGTATGACAGCTACAGGATCCAAGAGACCAAGGCAAAAGCCATCATCATCCTAAAGATCAGGACCAGAACTGATGGAGTGTCACTCTCACTGTGCTCTTTTGGTCAAAGCAGTGACAGGCTGATTCAAGGGTGTGGAGAAATAGACTTCATCCTTTGATGGCATGTGATGTTGGCAAAGAAGAAATGAAGGTGATCGTCTTGGGAATAGCTACCACAAAAATATAACTTTATTACTTTTTTATCATGTTGTATTATCTTTAATTAAGTATAAAGACTTCTAATCATGTCATCTAGAGACCATTTCACCCACTGCTCTGTTTGGCTGCCAGTCTCTTGTCTCTCTCTTCAGCAACGGTGGGCAGATACCCTTTCCACGGGGAAGAGAAATCCATGGTTTGTTGCCTTTGCCAATAAAAAAAAAATGTTGAAGAGCTGGGTGGCAAAGCTGTTGCCGTTGGCATCTTTCACGTGAACTACATCAAAAGAACCAGGGTGTCTCTCTCTGCTGATGATCACACCAATTCTTCCCAGGTTAGCACATCTGCTTATCATACACAGATTACCAGTGTCAAACTTGATGAAATCAGTGATCTTTCCAGTCTCCAAATCAATCTGAATGGTGTCATTCACCTGGATGAGGGGATCAGGACAGCGGATGGTATGAACATCATGGATCACCAGATGAGCGATTCCTTTTGTCCCCACAAAGATCTTTCTCTCTTTGCACAACTTATACTTGGCCTCCTCAGGTGTAATCCAATGAAGAGCAAAGCAACCCTTGGTGTCATAGATCAGGTGGAAATTCTCCCCAGTCTTGTCAGTGCTGATGACATCCATAAAACCAACAGGATAGGTTATATCAGTTTGGACCTTGCCATCAGTCTTAATAAAACACTGCAAACAGATCTTCTTTAATTCATTCTCTGTTAGAACATATTTAAGTCCGTTCTTTAGGAAAATGATGAGATGGAGACACTCTCTCAGCTTATGGGGACGAGTAGATGGGTGAGGGACAAACACACCAGTCAGTTTATCCAGCATCCACTGTTTTGGAACTACTACAAGCTTCAGATGCTTCTTGGGACCACAAGCCATGGCTGCACTAGGCGTGAAAAGATAAATAATTACTTCAAAGAAGATACAGTAATTTGATTCAAGTTTAAATCAATCAATGAATAGTTATTGGATATTTATTCTGTGCCTTATTGTCCCTTTAATTTTATTTGGCCTGCCTTAAAGTCCTTAAAAGACCTGTTTTCATGGAAAAGACGCCATTGCCAATGACACTTTTTGAAAAAAACTTCTCAATTTGGCCTTAAAAAAGAACAAGCTCTCCCTGGATTGGGTCTCAGAAGAGGCAGAAGCTCCAATCTCGATACCTGTGTGAGTTCAGGCAGCTTAGCGGGCCTTTTCAGAGTTCCTGGTTCTTTATCTGCAAAATTTATTTAATTAATCTTTACTTAGTGTCTACCCTCTATCTGTACTGGTCTAAGTACTGATGATACAAAGAAACACAAGACTATTTCCTCAAAGAATGCACAAGGAAAGGGGCACATTCACAAATAATTATGATGCAGTTTTATAACAGTTGGTACTGACTGCTAAGGTTTCTTTCATATCTAAAGTCACATGACCCTGTTAGTTTTAATTAACTTATAATTTATATGTAAATGAGTATCTTTGAAAAATTTATTGCCTTAAGGATTTATATGTGTCTGTGCAATTTGTTTACATTATTAATTTGTAATTAACGGCATTTTAATCTCTTCTTACAGAGTCATAAGACTCTAAGACTGAAAGTGGTTGGGAATATATCCATTCCAATCCCTTCTTCTATAGACAAGGAATTTGGGAAACAGAGAGCCTAAGGGACTTGTCTTCCATCACACAGCTTGTCATTGGCAAAGGCAGGCCAGGCCAACATGATCCACACTTCATGGACCTGCTTGCCTATAAAGACGTTTTAGTCCATCATCTCTCCCCCGACTGAGGTGCTAAATTCCAGAGCCCTGTCCAATTTATTGCATTTTGTTTATCTTCTTCAGAACTTTTGTGCTGTTTTGATAAAAAGAACTTTAATCTGTCTACTTCACAACTTTTGGAAATTATATAGTGATATGTTGACACATACTTCTTTGGTCGTGGAGGAAATTTGAACTAGAGAAACACTAGGACATACTGTTACAAGTTCTATTTCCACTTGCTCTACAATTCTCAACTGGAGTAAGCTTAAAAAAAACAGTTGTTCACAAAGACAAAAATTTCTTCGTTACTCAAACCATGGTATTATCCTAATTTTTTATTACTTATAATGAACAAGACATGTGCTAGAGACATGGTTTTCTTTCTCTGAGCTGTCTGGAAGGAGCACAGATTTCTAGAATATTGGCACTATAAGGGATCTTAAAATTCTTCTAAGTAAAAAAAAAAAAAAAATACTTGTGAATCTCCACATTTTGCAGATGGGAAAGATGAAGCCAAGGGGTCAGCAGCCTTTTCTAAGGTCCCAGACAGCCTTACCCAAACTAAACCAGAGTCTAGCTTTCTGATTCCCAGGCAGTGCCCATGTCTAAATGCAAGAGATTTGCCGAAATATTCTCAGAAAATTGTATTCTCATTTTTGATGAATGCAAGGATGCAATTAAAGCTATTCTCCTCCAAAAAGAAGTGCTGATATTTGCTATACATCAGAGAGAAGCTTCCAAAATCTCTCCTGCCCTCTCATTCACAAAGACATTTTCCCCTCAGGCAGTTCAATTGGACTACATAGATATGCCCTGGGTGATCAGTAAACATTCAATTTGTCTTAATGAAAGTCAGACAAAAGGGATGAGACTTCCATGTTTGCTCCAGTGATTTTTGTTGGTATCAAAATGGTTTGCTATGGAAATTCCTTGAGCCATTGTTTTCTGCCCACAGATGTTTTCTTCAAAATTTTCTAAGTTAAGGAAAGATTTGTGTAGACATACAGTAGACTAGAGCAGAAACTAGTAGGAGCCAGCCACCTCTCAGGGCAGCACTGAGCGGTGCATCCGTCTTTCTGCTCTTTCTCTTCCATTAAGGGCCATCAAATCTTCCTAGATTTTCTTCATATTTGTTCGCACTTTCCTCGAAACATCTACTCCTTATCTTACTGTGGTCTTTCTTGTGTTTTCTTGTTTTTGCAGGTATCGGTCCAAATCGATTTGAAGACAGAACAATGTTCAGGAACCACATGCATTTATGTCACAGAAACAAATCATCTGAGGGAAAGAATGGATATTTCACTTTTATCCTTTATGTACTGATGTTATATACACATAACCTGATTCCACCTGTATTTTGAGTTGAATAGGAAGGCTTTAGTTTATTTTAAAAATAGGCCCCCATTGAGTAAACTCACCACTCTTGACCTAATTATGAAGAAAACACCTAGACCTTTCAAAAATCTTCTGATTCTGACTCCCGGACAGAACTGATATTGGATTAAATCTGACCTTTGGGGCACAAACCCCTGAGGCTATTCACTTACTCTTTTCAGTGGGCTTTGCTGATATTTTCCTCTGGTTCTAACGTAGCTTAAAGTCATGTCTTTAAGACAGTTTTTAAAAAATTAGAGAGAAAGCAAAAAGCTAGCCTCAAGGCATAGGCAAACAGTCCAGACTCATCCCTTTGGCAGGCTGAGAAATCTCCACTTGGTTGTGGCAGTGAGCCTAATGAGAAGAAAGCCATTAATTAAATAAACAAAACATTGCAATTTGGTCAGAGGACTGATACAAGTAGCAGCACATCGGCCAACCCCCAGCCCTTTCTAGGAGAGACTTACACATGTTCTAAGGAGTTGGTTTGGTTTAACCTACTGCAAATGCTTCCAGAGAAAGAACTTCAGAGTATACGCTTAGGAATCGTCGAGCTTCTCCTACACTTTGGCTTTATCTTAGAGGCTCAAGTTAACTGTAACATCTTGGTTGCATCCCTTCCACATGAGGAGAGACTAAAAGAATAATCTCAACCTCCAGGTTTTAGGAAATACATAGCCTAGAACAGTCCTGTTGGCTCTTTTCTTAGATGACTTCATCTGTTGGCTCCTACACCCTTGGTGTCTCATGACCTACCCTGGAAAATTGGGACCACCCCACTCTGGGTCCTGTGTTCTCTCTACTACACTAGTCATGGTGGAGACTGAAGGTGAAGAAAGCCCTGAGTGCTGTTCTTTCTCTGCTGTCTGGTCCCTAGCACAGCTGTGGCACCTCATTGGACCCTGGCCTAATGGTTTTATGCAGTCAGATAATTATTCACAGGACTTATCTTCGTTGAGCACATGCTGGGGAGAAAATTAATACCAGGATACAGGAAACATTATCAGCCTCAGATTCAAAATTGGCTTCCAGTGACTTGATTCTGGTTTATGTTATGAGAGGGAAATGAATAGTCTGACTATCGTCACTATGAATGTTTTTGCTGAGCCCCTACCCCATAACTTCACAAGCATACATTAGAAAACACAGGTGTTTCATGCTGTTTTCCAGTGATGGGGATGAATAATAGAACCATCTATGTTGCCTCTTTTGGTCCTTGTTGGGAGCAATGGCATGCATTTGTGCCATGATATTGGAGGAGGGGAGTCCCATCTGTATTTGAGCTTATGTGTTATGGCTCCAGATGACCTTTGCTAAACATAGAAATATATCCTGGAAATGGGACATACTGACCCCTAATGAGCACTGTAACAAGTTTGATTAAGATCAGGTAACTTAAAAAAAAAAAAAAAAAGATTAGGTAGCTTGAATCCAAAGCCATAAAGAGAGCCAAGATTTTGATAGAGGAGAAAATTAAGAAACATTTCTTAGAAGTTCAGATCTTTGTAGGTTGTAAAAATAAGGACACTATACACTGAGGATCTATCACACAAGATCCGGATCCCCAGGCAGTGCTTAGAGAAAAACAGCTGAGAGATCCCAGAGGAGGGGAGCCACAGGTAAATTTGGAAGGGATGATGGTGATGAGAAATAAGACAAGACAGCGCCAAAGGCAAACCTTGAGGGAAGCTCATCCTTGATTTGAATGTGAACTTGGAGGAATTCGTATGACCTTAAAACGAGTAAATATTGTTCAGATATATTACCTAAAATTTGTATTTAGACTTAAAAAAGTCAAATCATCTTAAACCAGCAAACATCTTGTAGCCAACTTATTTAAAGTTTTGATTCATCCTTCTCAAGTGAAACAGTGGGACTGTCGGCCTCTAAATTACCAGCGCATGGTCACTCGTTCTATTGGTCACTGCCAGACCAATCAGTACTTCTATGGTCAATGTGGGGGAAATAACTCCATGAAATAGCCTTCTGCTCCACTGCTCATTTTCCATCTAGGTCACTTTACTCCCTCGTTAATGGCTCCATACTTCCATTCAATCCCAATTATGAAAACAAAACACACTGACTTATAGATTCCAACATTTCATATCGCAATAACTTTTTTCCTTAGGTTGTGGCCAAGATGAAAACACTTTAGCCAAAATGATTTGAAACACAAAACTTGTTATTTTACCTCCTGATCCATCGGTAAAGAATCAAGGACATAAGAGGAATGTACTTCCATTTGAAGGAATGCTTTTCAGACGGTGGGCGTAACTAATTTGTTTTACATGTATACCTTCTACGGGATATCCAAACATAGTACCTAGTTAAGTCTTTTCACAATATTGTAACACCTGTTTTCAGAGTGACTCCAAACAGCAATGACATATGAGGTTCAGCCGTGACCAATTGGGTCACAATATACAGAGAAGTAAAATTTCTGATAATATCCATTGTCCTAAATCAAAGAATGTCTTCCAATGTTTGGTGATTACTAACAATGGGAACATAAACAAAGATTGAATTTCATCCCCAGATCTGCAAATGAGTTATATAGGCCCTATCCACCAACATGCATGGTCTTGAAAATGGTCTTTTAAGTCATCCTGGGAAACTCAAACTTCCTGTTTGCTGTGTGTGCTCAGAAGTCCTCCAAGCAAGTGAACAAGTAGTAGAACAGAGGCCCTTCCTGAGGAGGAAGGCTGCAGGAAGCAGAATGTGGAACAATGGGAAGGCAAATCGGTTTCTGGTGGTGAATT